TAGCTTTCAAGGAATTGTACATATGCACAGAAATACCTACCTGGACAGAAATTGTACATAAATACACTAACTACCTAGAAAAGAACTGTATCTGGAAAGGAACTGTACCAGGAAAGGAACTGTAACAGGAAAGGAACTGTATCTGGAAAGGAACTGTACCTGGAAAGGAACTGTGCCTGGAAAGGAACTTTACCAGGAAAGGAACTGTACCACGAAAGGAACTGTACCTGGAAATGAACAAAGGAACTGTAAAAGGAAAGGAACTGTACCTGGAAAGGAGCTTTACCTGGAAATGAACTGTACCAGTAAAGGAACTGTACCAGTAAAGGAACTGTACCAGTAAAGGAACTGTACCTGGTAAGGAACTGTACCAGGAAATAAACTGTACCAGTAAAGGAACTGTACCAGTAAAGGAACTGTACCTGGTAAGGAACTGTACCAGGAAATAAACTGTACCTGGAAAGGAACTGTACCAGGAAATAAACTGTATCAGGAAAGGAGCTGCACCTGGAAACGAATTGAACCTGGAAAGGAACTGACCTGGAAAAGAACTGCACCTGGAAAGAGACTGTACCTGGAAAGGAACAGTGATCCTAAGAAGATACACAATGATCCTTGTGAAGTACACGTAGCAGACCACCATCACGTAGAAGTGACGGAACAACTTCAGTTTCTCTAGACTCATGGCAGCCTTCCCATCCGTGTTACTGGCGTCCTATCAAACAAAACAGTTAATTTACAAGAGGCATCATGTATTCCATATAATATATACTAGCTGGAGTGCCAAGCATTGCCCGTGAAATAAAAAATGTTATAAATTTGAAGAAAAAAGATTGATTAAAACAAATACGAATTTATTTAGTCTATGTTACCGTCACCCAGGCCCCAGGGTTCCTATAGGGTCCATACAAAATTTTAGCAAATGTCCAGATATAATTATGCAATATAAATATACAAATATATATATGTTTGTTTGAGTCGTGAACCACTAGGCCGATTTGCATTGAATTTTGATAGGTTTACTAGGTAGATCGGAGGGAATGTTCTTAACATGTTCTTAGCTTGGTTTAAAAATTTGCTTAGATCTTCAGCTAAAGCTGGATTCCCAACCTAGATATCTATTTATTTATTTATTTGGCCGCTTGTTTAAATACTATAAATGTCATAACAGCTGAATCAATCGTGGCTTGAAAAGCAACATTTAAAAGTTAGAATTGTTACAGAAAATGGACACGAAGCGCCCTAGAAGCCTTTCAAAATTTATTTGTAATTAACAAGAATTTAGTTGTTAAAGCTATCTTCTTTATAACTTTGAAACTCAAATTCAAAAATACTTGACAATAAAATGTCCAGTTAAATGATGTTAGTACGAACCTGTAGATGACGTATACTCCAGACTACCGGCATCAGAATAGCTCCACAGCAAACCAAATCTATAAGGATAAACAACTCCTTCCAGAAGTTTCTACCCTTTGATCCTTCCTCACTCTCTTCCACTATGATGTAAGCAACATTGGCCAATACCTGGAATTAAAGTTTAACCTTGATTTGTTAATTGATCAAAATCCAATTATAAAGGGGTGGGGACTGGGATNAAGTGCTTTTTTTAATTTTCTTGCATTTAAAAATTCTTAATTGTCATTTAAACTTTCTGTTATTTTTCTTTTCATTTTTTAGATCTTAATGGGACTATCGGTGTAGTGACCTTCCATTTTAAGAGAGCCACACCCGATTCACAAAGTACCCTATAAACCTTTATCTGATCAGTAATGTAAGATATCTTTGTTTTTCTAGCTTAAGTGTTTTTTTCTGACATTGAACTAGCTCCATTGCATGTAAAAGCAGAAACCCAGAGGCCACTTTTTAGAGAACCCAATCAAAAAGTTTTGAATTCCAAAAAGAGAAAAATAGATATCTAATTCATTCTTGATCAGACACAGCTTTTAATGGTACCGTAGGGAATCAGACATGCCATTCTATAAATGGACGGTGGCTTGAAATTACGTTTCAACTCCATTTAAAGATCTGCTTAATTAGAAAAATTTTCAGAACATCATAAACACGAATTAAATACCTGAAAACTTGTTCTGTACCGTTCTTCTTGAGGATGAAGACCCAGAAAACCCCGGTCAACAGGAACAAAATACTCAGCATCTAAACACCAACCTTGACATACAAAATAACTAACCACAAATAGTTTCCATAAAATTGGAAAATTGGAAGTTTTGATGATTAATCTCCAAAATCAGCAGTTAACAATATCATATGTTTTAAAATACTGAACTCACAAAATAGGTGCATTATTCAAAACTTACATTATGCTGACTTTTTCTTGGATAATTTGTTGTTGTTGTAGAAAACAATATTAAGTTAAAAGCTTTATTTGTTTACCCCCCACAGTGGTGTATTATGGGGTGGGGGAGGGGTCAGCCAAAATGATAAAATATTAGTAAATGAAAAGATTATCAGAATCTATTCATTTAATGTCCATTCTCAACATAAAACAAAATACAAATGCATTTTAAGAGTAGTATTATTACAAAAACAGTCATCCCCATGACCCCCTAAAATACCCCACCGTGCGCCCTTCCCTGGTTTCCTGAATTTAGTATACCGGAAAAACGATAAAATATTTTTTGTTACAATTAGCGTATAAAACAAGATGGAACATGTTAATAGAAGTATAATATGAAAACGATAAAATGTTTGAGCATACTTGATAGAGTGCTGGGAGCGGCATCTCTCCGGCCGATAAATAATTGTCGCCGATATTCTTCTCCTCCATCTTGATGTCGAAGTCGACTGGGATCATCTCTGACTGGTGACAGTTGTGGAAAAACATGGAGTATAATCCCTCCTGGGATGGATCGGAGATGAATATTTGGAAGGAGGTTTGGTATCCTGACCACAACATCCAAATCATATAACGATTGCTAAAAAATATGCTCCTTCTTATGCATAAGAAAAGTGAGACTGGATTTAGGTTTGGGGCTAAAATTACTCTTTATCAATTTTATGTACTTTAGTACTCGAAACAAATGCCACCAGAGTCCGAATTTCATGAATTTGAGCTAGGTCTAGAACTGGTTGAACTGCCTACCGCAGATTTGAATTCAAATTATTTTTCATCTTTTTTGAACCGGTAGTTCAAAGTTTAACCGGTAGTAGTAAGTTGAGCAACGCAGCTCAAACTCTTTAAAAATTACTTTTACTTATGTTTATTGATTATTCTGCATACCATCCAGAATGAGAAATACATATTACTTTATCAGCTGCGTATAGAACAGCATATTAGTCGTTCAGGGTGGCGGGAGGGTGGCATACAGATAATGCAACTTAGTTAAATAAGTAAATAAGTAAACAGAAAAAAAATATTGGGAAAAAATGATTAGCTGCACTATAAACATGTAATTGTATTTATCACCTTTGTAAAAATATGATAACAAATACCAAATAAAATTCCTTAAGACTAATTTATTGTATCTGAATGTGTTCCTGATGGTGAAAGATTGATTGGTATCTGGTAGTTACTACATGCATCATCGGGACTGGACTGGGATGGAACACTCTAAAACAAAAAACTAATTTTTTTTTTGAAAAAATCTGAACTTTTTCTTCCCTCTTAAAAATAGTGTATCCCTTCAAATTGGTAGAAACATTTTAAGCTTAAATGATTTTTTGCTAAATCTAACTTTGGTAAAAAAAAAGGCAAAAAAGTTCATCTATAATCAGGCGACCCCAGGCGTGATTGATATTCGTAATGTAAGGAAAGTGCTGAGGGGAGGGATTGATTGAGGACAGGAATAACACCAAAATTTTCTTAATAATATTTGATAAAAAGTATTAAATCCTGAACTTGTACGATCGCTTTCTCATTTCTCATGTTCTTTACCAAAGCTTTGAAATTGCACAAAGAAACCAATATATAAACTAAAAAGTGGATTTTGCAAGATATAAACCCATATAAAAAAGGATCTGTTTACCTTAGTTTCAACGGGTTGTTCTACATCGTTCTCCGATGATTGAGTGTCATCTTTCGAATCATCTTTAGTATCAACCTTCTCCTTCAAACCTAGACTGTCTTCTAGTTTTGGGTCAGCTTTACCCTCCAGCTTCTCTGTAAGTAGTTCACTCTTAGCATACAGGCCTTTCAAATTCCCCACACCAGCAGTCTAAAATAACAATAGTAAGAACAATTAGGATATGAAGGTGAGGGGGGGGGGGGTAATTTCGGATATTTATTATGGGATTGTAAAACTTTTATAAAGATGAGGTGACTTTTCTCATGTATTAGTTTTTGAGTTTAGGGATCAAAAAAGGGGGGGGGAGAGAACTTGGTAGTTGGTCAAATAATTTCTCTCCCCCCTCACATACTTAAACAACGTTCATGCATTTTTCAAAATGCTTAGATATTTCCTTGCCTTGTTCTTGTCGATATCACTGTTGGCTTCAGCAATTTCTTTGTCCAGCGGGGATTCAAAGAAATGTTCTATATCAGGATCCTTCATATTCCGCTTTCTTCGGGGACCATTCCTAAAGGATCAAAAATGGTTTAAAAAAGGGGGGGGGGGGGGACTGTACTATATGTACTACCTGTGTACTTTAAAGTGTCATGTGTACTATTATAATTATTAACTATCAACCTACAGAAAAAGTTCCATGATGGGATTGAGCTCCGCAACTTGCATTGATCAATATGTGATCTCGTAAATCATGTCTGACCTGAGTTTTTGTAAGGAATCAGTGCGTGGATACTAAAAAAGTGCTTAAAAGCAATAAAAAAGCGGCACAAACACTGTTCCAAAGGTGTAGGTGTATAGTTTATAGTTCATATAAAGCTTTGATAACAATTCATGTAACTCTGATAGCCATGATTCTATTTTATTTTCTTCAGCTTTCTAACTTTTTCCATCAGGACTTTGAAAGATCTGAGGATCTTTTATAAACTATGACGTGTTCAGGGTGTTCATACTCGAGATGTTAAAAACTGTAAATAAGTTTTATACATGCTGAAAAGTCTAGCCGATACTTGAACTATGTTTTATTGCTAAAAAGTCTGGACAATTCTTTCTAAATAATTGGTCTTATCTTTCAGACCATGATGGGTTAGTCGCGTCCTTCTAACCTGTCTCTTTCTCCAGGTTTATAAATAATCCGTTATATCAATATTCACATGGAAACTCTTCTATCGGATGGTTAATATAATACTAGCTGAAAGGCCCGGCGTTGCCCGTGGAAAAAAGAGATACTTTTGAAAAAAGGAAGACAAAAATATGAAAAAAATACGATTTTTTAGCCTATTAAACCCCCCGGCCATACATGAGTGTCCACAAAAAATTTCCGCCCAATCGGTCCAGTCATTTGGCCGGCTATAGGCAACATATATACATATATGCGAATGTCTTGTTTTATTATTTGTATAATATGTATAGGTTTGTTCTGATACTTGTAATTCCTCCCTCAAAAGTTCCGTGCACGTCTCCACGCACTGAACCAGGTAATTAATTATGAACATTAGAAGTTGAGCGTTCATAATATCCTAAAGACGCACAAACACTTCAACATAATTCTCATCCTAGCCTTATGTTGAGTTTTTGTCGATTTCAAAGCTTGTATCCTCTCCGCTGACTCGCGGATGAGCTGTAACCCTCAGCAATCTTGACACCCCGAGTCTGGGACAAGTCAACATAAAGGAGAGCAGTAAAAACTCATAAACTTTGAGCTTCTGAACTCAGTCTACCAAATTTATTTAGGCTCCGTTGTCAAAACTCCGATTTCCACGGAAGCTGAGTGTTCCTGTTTCTCTGGTTTAAGTTCTCTGTTACCTAGCTGTCAGTCTCTCAGAGTAGTTTCTATCTCTACGTATACAAGACTACAGGTGTACTGGAAAGTGTACTGTGTGCTATAATATATATATTCAATACGGATGTACTGAAAAGTGTTCTATGTACTGTACTATATTTGCTACCTGTGTACTGTGTAGTGGAAAATGTACTGTGTACTGTACTATATGTACTACTATGTACTGTAATGTACTCTATGTTGTACCTGTGTACTGGAAATATGTTCTGATCTGAAAGATTATCCTGATCCTCTCGTTTAGCAATATCCTTGGTGACAGCAATACTCTGAACGTTTTTACTACATCTTATCTCAGTCATCATTGTGTTAAAATTCAGCTGAAACCTAAAAAACCAATTTCTTTTCAGAAAATAAAATTTTAGAACATTTAATATAAGACTTCTTACAATGATAACCAGAAAACTGTGGAATAGAAAGACGACATTATAGCAATTCTGAAGTGCATTTCATGTTGTTTTAAAGCATATAGCTTAACTTGAAAGTTATAAAATTACTTATTTAGTAAAATGGGTCTGTTTACATTGCATAACTGCTGTGTCTCATGTCCAATGCGCTATTAACAGTCGTAACTTGAGTTTAAAAGTCGACTTTCTATTCCAGAGTTTTCTGGTTATCACTGTATTTAAAATCTTGATTAAAATTTTAAGAATGTGAATGTGAATGTAGTTCAGTTTGTACAGACTGCACAGATTGGTTTGGAAAATATTGGGATGGGGTGGGGGTAAGTATACCTGATAATCCCTGCTGTATCCCGTTCTTGAATATTCCTTGAGAGAATGCATTCTCTGTCTGGATCCTCCATATATGGGTTCAATCCGTCCGACAAGGTTCGATCAATACTATACTCAAGATAATTAGTTAAGTGGTAGTTATTATTTGATTTCAATCAAATCCAATCAAATCAAATAATTTTAACTCCGCCCGACAAGGTTTGGTAAATCATATACAAGAGTCAAGATAATTAGGATTCATTCTTTCACATTCAATCAAATCAAATCAAACGAAACAAAACGAAACGAAACGAAACGAAACCAAAACAAATCAAATCAAATGAAATGAAATCAAGCAATATCTCACTCAAATCTAGTTTAAGGTGCGTCCTATACTCCATTCTCTACGGATTTTTGGTTTGCCAAGGCTTTTAAGGTAATAAAAGAAATGAAGTTTACGATGTTAAAAAAGTTGGGGAAAAAAGAAAAAAATGTTATTTTTGCGAAAAGGAAGATTTGAGAAATGAAAACGCCTCTTAAAGAATTATCTATTTTCCTGAACCCGATGAGAAGTTCTTTCAGATCATAATGGTTCCCGTCCGTTGGATGGAACCCTGATAGATTCACATGAAGATTCCCTGAATAAGTTGATAAGATAAATTTGCAAGTAAATGTAAAGTGGTGTTAGGCAATTATATCAATACAATGAAGATCACTTTTGATGTAAATTTTGATTTCAATTTAGCTTTATTTTGAAATAAGGTCGGTTTGTTGACTTATAAAAAATTTAAAAATAATTTAATTGATATAAATTGTACAGGCTTATTTTTGATGAGAGTTTTAAGATTTCAAACTTTGTAATGAGTAACATGGTGATTCACAGCTTTCAGAATGAGAATTCAGTGTATCATTTCATATTATTTTTAATGAGAATTTTCTTAAACCTTTATTCGACGACATTTCGTAGTAAGGGCCCCGAAATCATGATTGGGAAAATTCACCAAACCAAATAATAATTCATTCTTTATTTCACCAGTCATCTATATTTCGTCTGTTCCCCTGTAGTATTTATACACATTGACCAATGACCAATACCTGCTACCAAAAATTACATAAATCTACTAATTATTGAACCTTCTGTTAAATCATATTATTTTTGTTTCAATTTATAATAATCTTTAACAATGTATAATAAGGTATTTAGCATATAAATGCTTCTGTTTCTAAATTTAATGGTTCATGGCGGGATTCTTTTGAATACTTATATTTGTAAAAAAAAATGTTCAGCTTTAATCGCCAAAAATATTCTTGATTTGAGTAGCGGACAGTTGTTTGTTTATTTTTTTTTAAATTTATTTTCTTAATCTTTTAGTTTGGGTGAGTGGAATGCAATGCAATGCGATGCAATTGTGGAATGTAGATTGCTCAAGGAAGCGAAATGCAACGGATGTAATATTAAAAGAGCCCCCCCCCTGTGTGCCCCCCATCGTCCCAAGGGACCCGCTTGTTAGTGACAACTGGCATGCCCCCAAGAAAGGTTTACGGCTGATTAAAATTGAAAAACTTTGACAAAAATGTGGACATTTATTATTTTTGAATTCCAGCAATAAAAACGGAAAAATCAGGAAAAAATAGTTATTATCGTAGAAAAATCGAAATGACGACTTAAAAAGCAATATTTTAAGGCTAAAATTTTTACGAAATAAGGACGCACGACACGTTATTTGTAGTTCAAATAATCCTCATGACCCGTGAGGGCTCAATTGTCACTAACAAACCTAATCTGCCCCTATATGACCTTATTTGACCCTAAATCACCAACCTCCTTGGTAGAATCCAAAAGTTGACAGAGGAATACTTTGACGAACATCATTTTCTGTTAAAACAAATCATTTTCAAGTCATGAATGTACATTAAGGGACTGTCAGTGTAATTTCAAGTTGCCTTTCATTTATTGAGTGGCGAATCCGATTTACAACGATACCCTTTAAACCTTTGTTTGATCAGGGATTTCGTAGAGTGAGTGTACACAAGTGACTAGCACAGAGTGTACATTGTACACTGAAACCTCGAGTCTCCAGGCCCTCAATCCTTAGCTATACAAATGAGGGCATAACCCTCATCGTTGTCCGGACAAAGATTTAAAGATTACAGTTGTGAATCAGACATGCTTCTCTATCAATGGAAGGTCACTTGAAATTACGTTAACAGTCCGTTTAAGCAAAAATAAAATGTAAATTTTGATGAAAAAGGTGAATTTTGTTTGAACTAAATTTGTTTTCCTATTATTAAATGATGTTTACGAGCCCCAACCTCAACCCCTAAACAGACCAAAAGGAAGAAATATGGATTCCGCCTCATTTTCCTTCCATATCTGAAATATATACATTGTAGATGTACAATTTCGAAATATTTGAAATGAAAAAATACAAACATTAGACGATATTTATACATTTCAAGTGATATATAAAAATAGAAAAACTATTGTAACAAATATTTATTATTCTAGTCCTAGATTGGGTGTTAGTTGTATAAAAATATATATCCTTCCCTATTATCAATACTTATTTACATATTTTGTACATTTGTCCTGAACTTAAGCGTAGAAAAAGCGTATGAAGTTTTGTAGAGATCAATTTAATTGGTAAAAAATTAGAGATTGGATGAATTTGTTGTATAGAAACACTAAAAAAATTCACAAATTACCTCAAATTAAAATAAAAATATTTCGTGAACTCAAAAAATACTAGTTTTTAAATATCTTAAATTTCTGCTAACGAACAAAAAAAGCTGCAGAAGAAAAAAACTAAACAAAATGATGACAACATTGTTCATGAACGTTGTGTTTAATTTTTACTGACCGAGAGATGATTTTTAGATAATAATTATAGAAATAAAAAGTGTCGAAAATAGTAGAATTCAAGAAACTAAGAAAGTCCACAATTATAGCTGTCGTTAGGGTGTCAGCTGTTTTAGTATCTACTAGAAGCAGCTGTCAGCTGTCTTAATATCTACTTGAAGCAGCTGTCAGCTGTCTTAGTATCTACTTGAAGCAGCTGTTAGCTGTCTTAGTATCTACTTGAAGCAGCTGTCATCTTGAGTACTTCTTCACATACTTTCTTGTAACACCAAGCATCTCCCTTCAACCTTTATCAAAGAAAAAAATTACAATCTTTTCTGAAATTATCAATCTAATAAAATAACAAACAATAGGTTAATCAATAATCATTAACCAATTAAGCATACATATATCGCAATTCAGACTATTTTAAAATGATTCAATGAGATATTTACAAAATAATTGATCATTAAAATCTTAATAAAAACAATCAAATTTCCACAAACAATTAAAAACAAAGTATCAATCAGTAAGATATTTTTCAAAAACTTGATCAAAAGTCAAACAAGTCAAACATTCTTTATTGAATCAACGAATTTATAACCGTCCATCCATCAAATATCCGGATCCGGATTTGTTGAATTCACAACATTTAAACTTCCTGAATCCGTGTCCACGTCCGCAAAAATATGCGGATACATGGAATCGGATCCATGAGCAAAAAATAAACCAAACATGATAAAATAAATGCTTCTTTCAAATCGCAATGTTAACAATTAAGAGATAAAAAAACTTCCTTATCTCTGAATGGTTCAGCATAAAATAAAGCGAGAAAAAAAGAAAAAAATTGTTTTAGTGTTTAAAAAAGCGAGAAAAAAAGAAAAAAATTGTTTTACAAATCAGTAATCTTAAAAAAAATCCTTAGGACTTGGATCCGGATCTGTATCAACATGAAATGCTAAGCAATTATAGAAACTGACCTCTTTCTCCTGATACCGACAACATTCAGGTTAGGTATCCTACAGACCTCGAGCTCGAAAGATAGTTTAGCTAAACCGCTTGGATCAGTTATCTTACCCCGTAGAATATATCCTTTCTGTTGACATTGGATTCCCTAAACACACAAAGTGAATAAGATTTAAACAAGTTTAATAATATTCAACTTAATAATAATTTAACAAGATCTGAGAAGGAACCCGTCTTGGAACCCCTAGACCGCCCTCAGGGGGCAGCGCATCATCATGCGGTCTGCGGCCTGGAATCCATTGACAAATATAGTAATTCAACATCAGCTAAAAAGCCCAGATCATTCAAACTGAACATGGTTATCTATATAATAAGACAAGACATTCGTATATATGTTCCCTCTGGCCGGCCAAACGGCTGGACCGAATGAGCTGAAAAATTTTAACGGGACCTATGGAAACCCCGGAAGTAACAAATGCAAATTTTTCTTTTTTTTTCAAAATAAGATTTTAAAAAATTCCACTGACAACGCCGGGTACCTCAGCTAGTATAATATATAAAATTAGTCAATAATTAGTCAGCTTTATCTTGAACAATGAACATTGAACATATATATTGGTAAATAAAATAAATTTCAGACGTTTCCTGAACAATGAACATATATAGTTGTAAATATAATGGAGTTAATTCGTTTCCTGAACAATGAACATATATAGTTGTAAATATATTAGAGTTTATCCGTTTCCTGAACAATAAACATATGTAGTTGTAAATATATTGGAGTTTATTCGTTTCCTGAACAATGAACATATATAGTTGTAAATATATTGGAGTTGATTCGTTTCCTGAACAATGAACATATGTAGTTGTAAATATATTGGAGTTGATTCGTTTCCTGAACAATGAACATATATAGTTGTAAATATATTAGAGTTTATCCGTTTCCTGAACAATAAAAATACCAATTAGTAAGCTACCTGACGTGCCAGGCATTGCCCGAGAAATTTAAGAATATCGATTTTTGAAGAAGAAAAATCGATTATAGAAAAAAAAATTCAAAATTCTTAACCTTTGTTACCCCCAGGGTACCCAAGTTCCCTAAAAAAATGTCACCCAATTCGGTCCAGCCGTTTGCCCATCTAAAGCTAACACCTTTTAGTTACCTTGGAGTAAGCATATTCTTCATCTTATCCAACCCACGCTCCAGGCTTCCAAACACCTTCTTGGTTGAGCCCGCCCCTTTTGGTGTGACAGGGGCACGACTAGAAGGTGTAGCAAACCAGTCTACTGGACCAGGTTTAGAGGGGGTGTGGAGTTCGTTAAGTCCGGCATCCATTGACCTCGAAGGGGAGAGGACAGGAGTATTTCTGTCCTCAAGCTTTTTAGAGGATTTTTGCCGACGTGGTGTCTCACAAGGAGTTGCGAAGTTTTCCTTGTCCTCCCCGTCCTTCTTCTCATCCTCGTCCTGCTTCTGCTGGTCCTGGACAAATAATATCAAGCCAGTGCTTAGATTCAGGTCTTTATAAATGCAAAAAAGGAACTGGCCAGTCGCTCCAAACTCTATTTTTCCAATTCATATTTAGTACTATCTTTGCAACCTAATATTTCAAACTAAGAATATCGAGTAGTTAAAATTTGAAATATCTACGAGATAGATGAGAAATTTCAGGCAAGTGCTCAGTTCCATTATTAGAATTCTTATTTTCCTCTAATCACAAATTAAAAAAGATGTGAAAAAAATTATTCAGCCGTTAAAGAAACATATTTCCTGATAAATAGTCAAGCCATGGTCCGAAATTTCTTTAGAGCTTCAGCTTTGTAGTTTTAAACGGAAAAATTGATGAAAAAGTAGAAAATTTGAAATTATTTTTTTTTAATTAAACCAAACCCCCACCCACCCACCAAATATTCTACAACGGGATTTCCGAATTAAAAAGTGGAAATTCAGTTTTAAAAACTTTCATAATTATTCCTTCAAAAATTTAAAACAAATTCTTTATTTCCACCCAAAAGTTAAAAGTCGTTGTTACAACGTTAAACATTTTTTTAAGAATTATACCTTCAGAAAAGATAATATAGAAAAAACTTTACCTTGACAGCCTTTTTGTGAGGAATATGGTAACGTTCACTGGCCCTATTCTTGTTTCCGGTTCGCTCAAACGGAACAGGAAGTTCATTTTTCTCCTGATTTAAATTAAAATACATAATTGTTTTTCTTCAAAATATCGGGTTCTAAAGTTATATTAAGGAATGTAAATTGATTAATAAACTAAAAATTGAAATTTCGATTAAAGGAACTGAGTTTTTGCAACTAACTAAAATTTTATAATTCCTATATCTAAGCAGCAAACTGATGGTGTATTGCTGTTGATTGATATTACAAACTATAAATTCTGATAGATCCAATAATGTAAGGTTGAAATATCAAAGATAATATTATTTAAGAAGTTTATGACAAAAATTTAGTTTCTTGATGATATTTTCCGAAAACCTTATTCTTAACTTAAGATTAAATTAAGTTAGGTTTGAGATTGATTTTAGAATGAGTTTAAATTGATTCAGCCATGATTAAGTCAGGATTAAGTTCAGCTTTATTTTACCTCTTTTTCCTTCTCCTCTTTCTTTTTGCCCGGTGGTGTTCCTATATTGAGCAGAGCAATGTTATCTAGCCCTCCCTCCATACTTGTTGCTAGACCTCGGGGGGAGTTACCCAATCCTCGACCCTCCCTATTCAATTCCTGGACACGCCCCTCTCGGTTCATCTCACAGAGAACTGCACGCTTAGGCGTTCCCTGCAATAAATCAATTATTTACAGGGGTGTATATTTCCAGGGGTGTATATTTACAGGGGTATATATTAACAGGGGTGTATATTTACAGTGGTGTATATTTACAGGGGTGTATATTTACAGGAGTATATATTAACAGGGGTGTATATTTACAGGGGTGTATATTTACAGGAGTGTATATTTACAGGGGTATATATTAACAGGGGTGTATATTTACAGGGGTGTATATTTACAGGGGTGTATATTTACAGGGGTATATATTAACAGGGGTGTATATTTCCAGGGGTGAATATTTACAGGGGTATATATTAACAGGGGTGCATATTTACAGGGGTGTATATTTACAGTGGTGTATATTTACAGTGGTGTATATTTCCAGGGGTGAATATTTACAGGGGTATATATTAACAGGGGTGTATATTTACAGGGGTGTATATTTTCTTGAAAAATAATTTGAATATAATTTTAAGTGAAATTTTTGAATTGCAATATTTTATAAGATGAATGTTGATTAAGGGATTGCTCACCCTTTACAAATAAAATGCATTAAATACCCTAATAAGAAATAGACCAACAGTCACGGAGGTTTCTTTTTTTATCATAAGTGTGAGGGGGGGGGGGGGTCCATTGCACAAGATAAAGAAACTTTTAGTGTAATTTCAAGTAACCGTCTACTCAAAGATGACAATGCCCCATTCACAACAGAAACATTTAAAATATAGTCTGATCAAGTATGAATTATATAGCGATGTTTATAATTTCAAAAACTGATTCCTCAATTGCAGTTTCTCTGCAAAAATGACTAGCGCATTTCAATACTACAGGAAAACATGTATGAATCAAACAAACAAAAAAACAAAATAATTGAAATACTTTCAAGGGTACCGTTGTGAATCGGACAGTGTCATCTTTGCATGGAGGGTCACTTGAAATTAGTTTTAGAGTCTCTTTTAATTAAAAAAAATCCCCAATATTCATTTAATATATAAACCTTGTCTACTATAAGATCTGGAAGAGGTTTCTTGTCAACCAATGAGGGAAGGATGTTCAGCTCTTTACCGCACTGTTTTCTATAAATATAAATACAATATTTCAACAGCTCCTTGATCGAGGATAAAAAATAGTGATTTGATGATTTTTTAATTGGAATAAAGCATAACATGCTTGTTGCGTAAAAGAAATCTTTTGGTCGAAGTTTTGTAAGACATTTCCAAAATGATGGTAAAGAATTAACATATTTTTTTATATTTTCTAATTGAAGATGTAATTAATATAACGTCTAAAATCCTATTTCATTTCATCATTCTTTTGTATGACACGTTTAAAGCTTAATAAGAAAAATAAAAATCATAAAAAGAAGGGGAAGGGGGAGGGGATTTATGGGTTTGAACCCCCCAGATCGCCGCCGGGTGAGAGCACAATAACTCAAGATGCTCCTTACCCAATCCATTCCGGCCCCCAACCCCCTTGATACCCCAGGTGTTCAGTAAGAAATAGAAACGAATACATGTTAAGTAGTAGAAACGGATACCTGTTAAGTAGTAGAAAGTATATACAGGTATGAGTCCCATATCCCCACTGTAGTAATTTCTCCGCCTCTGTCTGCCGAGTCACGCCGTAGTACTCCGCCATTACCCCGACAACTTCCTCATCCAACTGCCCAGTTCTGTATCTGAAGTAAGTCGACAAAAATGTTGTACTCTTTCTTAAAAAAACAACACAATTTATGCAACTTTAAAGAATTTCACCTCTGTTAAGATCTTTTTATTTTCTTATTTTTTATCAATGAAAAATTTAGATTTTATGCAAGAGGAAATTTTGAACAGTAAAATTGGCTCAATTTAGTTCATGACTTTAAAGGGACTGTGTAGGATGTAAATGTGATTTCAAGTGATCACTTTAGGATGTAAACGTGATTTCAAGTGATCACTTTAATGGGACTGTGTAGGAGGTAAATGTGATTTCAAGTGATCACTTGAAAGGGACTGTGTAGGATGTAAATGTGATTTCAAGTGATCACTTTAAAGGGACTGTGTAGGATGTAAATGTGATTTCAAGTGATCACTTTAATGGGACTGTGTAGGAGGTAAATGTGATTTCAAGTGATCACTTTAATGGGACTGTGTAGGATGTAAATGTGATTTCAAGTGATCACTTTAATGGGACTGTGTAGGATGTAAATGTGATTTCAAGTGATTACTTTAAAGGGACTGTGTAGGATGTAAATGTGATTTCAAGTGATCACTTTAAAGGGACTGTGAAGGATGTAAATGTGATTTCAAGTGATCACTTTAAAGGGACTGTGTAGGATGTAAATGTGATTTCAAGTGATTACTTTAAAGGGACTGTGTAGGATGTAAATGTGATTTCAAGTGATCACTTACTGTGTAGGATGTAAATGTGATTTCAAGTGATTACTTTAAAGGGACTGTGTAGGATGTAAATGTGATTTCAAGTGATCACTTTAAAGGGACTGTGTAGGATGTAAATGTGATTTCAAGCGACCCCTAATTTGAGAAAAGCGTGCTCGATTCACAACAGTACCCTTAAAACCCGGTCGGAGTCATTTAAAAAAAAACCACACTTTAAAATGATCAATTTTCAGATTTAAAAGTAGGAATATCATTGTCGTGCTTGCTCAGAAGAATGTTTAAAGAGCATGAAGCTTATTTTAAATGTTCGGTCACATGAAATTACGTTGAGAGTCGAATAAAGATAGTTTACGTACTTGGATTGCCATTTGACCGGTTTCTCGTATCCGTCCATGAGCCAAGGATGGTGGAGCATCTCCTTCACGGTAATCCGCTTTTTAGGATCAGTCTGCAGCATAGCGTGGAGCATATCCAGGGATCCCTGACATTTAGATATTTATATATTTTTTACCGACTTTTGACTAACATTACCGACCTATAATTCCTTCAACGGGGGGACGTTAAGTTACTTTACGTACCTTGGGACAATTAAGTAAAATAACCACCCGCTCTGCGAAGTTTAAAGAAAATAAATCGCACATTTTCATCTCAAAAGAAGATAAAATTGTGTACAACTACTTTTTCGGGAAATCGAACATTTTACTGTCCCACGGGTTCCCCTGATCAATCTTGCAAACAAAAACATCCCTCGCTGCGCTCTGGATGTTTTATGAGCAAAATTGGTTTTCCAAACTTCCCTGTAAAGTAGTTGTAAATAATTATTACGGATTTTATAGATCGACCCTCACTTTATATGCATTCGTACATTTGAACAGTTCGTTATGAATCTTCATGACAAAAACGAAACTCAATGATGATTATAATTGCCCTTAAACTTCTTTTTATGTAGTTTTATTGTATATTTCCTTGCAATTTTTTTATTTTTTAATATTGGTTTTTATGGTTATGTGGGAACTAAAGAGGGTGAAAATGTGGAACTAACCCTATTTTTTTACTTTGTGAGGTTTAATAAAAATAAATTATACATTATCATAAGAAAATATATGATCTCTACATTTTTAAGCAGCAACAGATAAAATCTTAATAAAATATAAGCTTGGAACTTGATTGAGGAACAAGGGAGAACCACAGGAATGTTCTTAGCTTGGTTTCGAGTTGAGTGGATCGACGTATATCAGGAATATAGCTAAAATTGAAATTTACGACTAAGTGCGGGTAAACAGCAGGAGTACCTAAGAGTACACTAGGTTCCCAAGCAAGTTCTTAAACTTAATAGATAAAAGGCAACAAGGTCTGACCTGTGAGAGCCAAGGTGGTTTCTCGTAAACTCCTGACTGAATCTTCCTGTACAAGGAGGCGATGTTCTCGTCATCGAAGGGTAGGAACCCGCACAGCAGGGCGTATAGGAGTACTCCCATAGACCAGATATCTGCCTCCGCCCCCAGATAGTTCCGCCCAGATACTAAATAAAAAATACAGTCTACGCACTGTAAATCTTTACCTGTTATTTTTGACTAAAAAAACAATCCTCAATATATAATGTTTTAAACTTAACTGTTTTAGAGGCAGCTACTTAACTATTTTACTTTACTAATTACTATCTTAGAAACAGCTAACTTTTTCATGTGCAGATACTGACTAATTATATAGCTACTTAATTCTTTAAAAGGTAGCAGCTATTTAGCAATTTAAGAAGCAGTATCAACTGCTATTAAATTAATTAAGGAGCAGCAATAACTGATGATTACCTAGTTCAGGAGCAGCATAAGCGGGACTTCCACAGCAAGTCTCCAGTACTGCTTCCATTCCACCCTAGATAAAAATATGATAAAAAGAAAAAAAGTGAAAATTATAATTTTGGAAAATATTTAGTGCCGAGGGAGGCTCATATCTACATCTTACAGCAACAGCAGATAAAAAAATTTAACAAAATTATTCCAAATATTTACCCTAAAATTAACAACAGAAAATCATTACCTCAATAGTGAAATTTTTTATTTTTTATGTTCTTCCACGCATAAGATAAGATAAGATTCTTTAAGATAAGATCTGCAAACCCCCTCATCTTGGAGAGCCCAGTGCGCCATCGGGGCTAACACCCCGAAATAAAATGTTTAATTGTTCACCTTTGGTTTGGCACAGAGTCCAAAATCTATGAGTTTCAAATGGTTCTCTTCATCTATCAGTATATTTTCAGGTTTAAGATCTCTGTGTGCGTACCCAGCCTCATGTATATATGCAACTGCAGCAACTATTTGACGGAAAAATCTCCTAACAAAAATTAAAATTTAAAAAAACGTAAAAGTAAAAATCCATCGACAGTAACTGTAACACCCAGTCAACCCTTACCATCGAAAAGAGGGTTTAAAATATTAGTCCTTGTCAAACCTTTACATTTAATTTCACTTTTTAACTTTAAATTATATTTTTATGAACCAGCTGAATCCCATTTTAAACGACCACAAACAACGTTCTCAGACATTTTCATTTGTCAAAATTAAGTAAACAAGTATCGTCAATATAAAATTTTCCATAATCTATAGTCTAAATCTTATAAGAATTAATATTTACTGCCTGTCTTTCAGCTTCTATTTCAATTGTGAAAATTTTCTCCTTGAATACATTATAAAACAAAAACAAAAATAAATTTGTGGATTTTCAAAATTTAACATAAATCGAATTTTGTTAGAGGATAATTTTTGAAATTTTAATCATTCATAAACTTTCTCCGGGGTCACTTAAGATCCCAGACAAAATTTGGGCCCGAACGGTTCAGCCGTTTTGACGTTTATTGGATACAAACGGACAGACAGACAGACAGAAAACCAAAGTATATATTTAGACTAGTTTATTTGGGCGCTTCGCGGATTTTAAAAAATGGTAGTTTTTTTTTTTATATTTTCAAAAAAAATTTATGGAGGCAAATTTTTGAAAATTCGATCATCCATAAACTTTCCCTGGGGTCGCCCGAGGTATCACAAAATATTTGGTCCCTATCAGTTCAGCCGTTTTGACTTTAATTGGATACAAACGGACAGACAGACAAGCAAAGATATACCATGCAAAAAAACCTTTGCGTGAACCTTTAAAAATTTAGATTATAAACAAACCTTGATTCAGCTTCACAAAGACGATCTCTATCAACTATATAATCAAATAGTTCTCCTCCGGGGCAGTATTCAAGTATCATGTAGATCTTTGTATCATTCTCTAGAACCTGAATACAATCTTTGTATCATTCTCTAGAACCTGAATACAATCTTTGTGTCATTCTCTAGAACCTGAATACAATATTTTTATCTACTCTAGAACCTGAAATAAATATTTGTATCATTCTCTGAAACCTGAATACAATCTTTGTAACATTCTCTGGAACCTGAATACAATATTTTTATCATTCTCTGAAACCTGAATACAATCTTTGTAACATTCTCTGGAACCTGAATACAATCTTTGTAACATTCTCTGGAACCTGAATACAATTTTTGTATTTCTCTGGAACCTGAATACAATATTTTTATCATTCTCTGGAACCATAACACTATCTTAAACTTTAACGTTTTCTTTGTACAATTCTCTACGATTTAAACGCAGAATGTTCTAACCCACTTGCAGGGGTATTCTTCCCTCAAAATTTGTAATAAAATATATGCCCCTGTTTACATTCTAAAATAATAATTTAATCAAAACATGATTACAATAATGAAATAATACCTGTAGCAGTTTACAGATGTTTTGATGACAGAGAACTTTCATGGCGGCTATCTCCAGTCTAGAAATTATTAAATATGAAAATGCATTTGTAATGATTTTAAGATATCAAGGTAATAAAGGCTGGTTGTAAACTACAAAACATTGTTTGCTCAGATCGTAAAAGCTATGACTGATCTCTTTTAAAAATATGGATATATTTTCATTGGAATTTTGATGTTTCATCGTTTCCTTATTTCTTCTTGTTAATAAATGTGTAGATGTTTTTGTATCACTGAATTTTAACTTAACGAGATAGTGACTGAATATTTAGAGAAAAATCTTGCAAACTAAACTTATGAAATATATTTATTATTTATCCATTGTTATAAATTGTTTTAATGAGAGTAAAATTAATTCGTCGTTAACGTGAAGGAAACTTTTCTTTTGGAATAGCGCTTAGTTTCAGCAAGTGAACTCTATTTCCAAGTATAATCAAATTTAAAGCTAAAACTATAAATTCGTGGATGAAATGGAAATTTGTTTAGAGAAAACTAAAAAATTATAAAACGTGTTCATCGTTTTAGGCTAAACCGACAAATGGAATAGTGCCGGAGCCACAGATACATAATGTTTCAAACTCGCTAGATTCCTTTGTTGATCAATGATCATAGCTGCTACTAAACTTAATTACCTAATTCTCGGAAGATCTTCACCAAGTTGACGTTTGTCCATGATCTTGATCGCAACCTTCTGGTTTGTCAACAGGTGGGTGGCGAGCTTCACCTAGACACGGGTCATGATATTAGCAGGTTAATAAATTTAGCTTTAAAGGGACTGAAGAACGTTATTTTAAGGTACATTATTAATAACATGTCCGATTTACACCGATACTCATTAAACCTTTACAAGGAACAGACCGGCTATGTAAGGTAGTTAAACTGAGTATGCTGTGTTGTGGACAAATTAATTTGGATTCATTTGAGACATTTGAGACATTTGAGACTCCGTGCGGATCAAGAAAATATCACATGGTTTTCGGGGACTATCAATTATGTCTA